AGAAAAAGATTTTGCTGAAGTTTTGGATTAGCAGCACTTTGCCTCAATTTTACGTTTTTATCCTATGTGCATAAAAAGCTACCGAAGGTCTTTAAAGGTGACTGAATATAAGAGGTAAATATTCTATCGTAAAAAGAAATTCCGGAAAATACTCGAAGTCTCCATCAAGCAAAATAAATTTTCGTAAACTTCCTAAGTCCATTAGTGGTACGTAACATAGAATTTCACTTTGCTTACTTTTACAGTGTTTAAAGTTGAGTGCTTTAGCGGCTGCTTGAGTAGCTGCTGCGATATAAGCATGATTCACAACTAACTGTGTCGAAAGTCCGCTACATTCTTCAAGATGTTGAATTAATTGTTCATCGAGTTCATCATCTTCACAGCTGGATGAATCCATGGAAAACGTACCACTTTTCTGGAAAAATGTTTTTTTCGTATACATGCAATCTTCATAAATAAAACGATCGGTACTAGAAAAATCTTCTACTATAGGGCTTATGATAGGTCACGTACACGATTTAACCAGGAAAGAAAAAGCCTCGTAAGAGAATTCTGTTCAAAGTTCTGATCAGCGTGACTTATAGAGAAGCACTCGGGAAGGTCCCGATTTAAACTTAGTGCGCGACTAAACATACCGCGAAGAGCCACGATCAGCCTCCATACCGGATCTCTTCGAACTACTACTCAGACGGGTCTCTACAAGACTTAGTGCTTAGAAACTTTAAATATCATACGGCTATGAGACTTTTTTCTTCTTAATCTCAACCAGGCACGACAGACTCTCTACCCGTAGGTGACTCTCTCATGGCCCTTAAGATTAAGAGTGTCCTTTTCTGACGCCCGAGCTTTGGCTGGTTAGATATTTACTTACATACGGTAGTAACAAGGAACAAAATGACGATATATTTATTCGACGTGTGCATTTTCTTGCGCTGCAACTTCGATCGTGTTGTATAATTTTCAAGCAAATGAATCTGAAAGGCATTTTAACGTTATTATATAGACAATTTTCATTCAAGGTTTTTTCCCGAACAACACATTAAGTTTGTATGTCATAAATTATCGTGAAAAGGAAGAAATTTATATGGAAACACACGACGCACTTTATTGCTCATAGTTCCTCTTTCTTTTTACAATAGAATATTTACCTCTTATATTCAGTCACCTTTAAAGACCTTCGGTAGCTTTTTATGCACAT